ACACTGTACAACAATTTCAATATACACTCATAAATATACAACCATTACGAGCAATCGCTTAAATTGCTGCAGGACTCACATTTGTTAAAATTGCTGATTGTACAATTTTTTTTCTTCCAGTTTTCGAAAAATCAGCGATTTTCACGAACATGAGACCTGCACCACTGTCATAAACGTCATTCACACTATGCAACAACCAAATTCAATAAAAAACGTTAGAGCCACTGTTTCAAAAATTTCCCAGGGGTTTTGTGTAAAACACTCCCCAAAATGAAAATATTGGTTTCAAATTCAAGGAGACGCGACATCAGCCAGATAGATAGGTGATTATTAATTTTCATATAATCGACAGAAGGGCTTAGCCGCTAGCGTTGTTCACGGCCGGCCAGACACGCACACGAACGGACGGCCAGACGGACGGACGGCCAGACGGACGGACGGCCAGACGGACGGACGGACGGCCAGACAGACGGACGGACGGCCGGCCAGACAGACGGACGGCCAGACAGACGGACGGCCAGACAGACGGACGGACGGCCGGCCAGACAGACGGACGGCCAGACAGACGGACGGACGGCCAGACGGACGGACGGCCAGACGGACGGCCGGCCAGACAGACGGACGGCCGGCCAGACAGACGGACGGCCGGCCAGACAGACGGACGGCCAGACAGACGGACGGCCAGACAGACGGACGGACGGCCAGACGGACGGCCGGCCAGACAGACGGCCGGCCAGACAGACGGCCGGCCAGACAGACGGCCGGCCAGACGGCCGGCCAGACGGACGGACGGCCGGCCAGACGGACGGACGGCCGGCCAGACGGCCGGCCGGCCAGACGGACGGCCGGCCAGACGGACGGACGGCCGGCCAGACGGACGGACGGCCAGACGGACGGCCGGCCAGACGGACGGCCGGCCAGACGGCCGGCCGGCCAGACGGACGGCCGGCCAGACGGACGGCCGGCCAGACGGACGGCCGGCCAGACGGACGGACGGCCAGACGGCCGGCCGGCCAGACGGACGGACGGCCAGACGGACGGACGGCCAGACGGACGGACGGACAATTTTGGATGTTATATTTGCAATACCATTTGTGTCCTAGGAGATCTTGTCCCATTTTTCAGAAACTATGAAAAACGATTCACTTTACATTATATGGCATTAAGGCTGTTTTGGCGAAAAGATCGAGCATCCTCTCCTTTGTCACATTACCTGATTTTTTAAATGTGAAATCTTGACATCATCTGCATTACTCATAATTAGCAATTTATGTATTAGTCTATTTGTATTTTTAACACTTTTTGTTGTTGGAAACCATGTTCATGTTGTAAAGATGCTAATTTTATACCATTAACAGCACTAAATATCAGAAAAACTCAAATCACTCATGAGACAGAATATATTCTCTGGTGAAAGTTTTGCCACCATGACCTTACCCCAGTGTTTTCAAAAATTGTCAATTCATGCCAAAATTGTTATTTTATTTTGAATTGGTCAAATGCTATGAGTAAAAATTATTCGGAAAAAATTTTTGATGCTTAAAACTGATAATTAAGTATCATTAATCTGCTGAAAACGTATCATAAACTATTATAAAGTAGACTTCGTCACGGGAATTGACAAAAGATTTACTAACAGTATTTTGGAGAAAAGCATGTATTCCTAATTCGAAGGCAAGGTATTTACTTGTGCTTGACCCTCACAATGTCCATGGTAATGATGACCATCATCTAGAAATTGTTCCCAATGACAATTTTGATCATAACAAATTGCGTATCAAATTTATACTGCCAAAAATACTACAATCACTCCAACCTCTGGATCCATACTTTTTCATACTTATGTTTCATGATCAGTCTCATCATGAAATTACAAGAGATGGAAACATTATTTTGCAACGGTGAGACAACATCAAACAGCATTTCCTACTATTTCAACAATATACCTATCTCCAAGATTTGAACCGTCCATCATTCCAAATTGAAGTGGGACAGTCTCTCACAAAGTGAAGCAGAGTATTCTGAAAATACAACCAACTTTTTTCAGGAACTTACTATTTGTAAGTGATGGATGTGACAAATCACTTAACAATTGCAGTGAATGGTGTGCTAACCAATTTTGCTATACTTTGTTGTTGTTGTTAATTATCATTTCATTGAGTCATTTTTATTGGTATTGTATATGATTTATAGAAAATTAAGGTAAAAGCATTTTTTTTTTTTTACCTTTCTTACCACCACCACCACCTCCTTTCCATCCCACCCTTACGATGCATTTGCTAATAGAATTCTGCAACTATTAGTTAGTTTCATATTAAAGGATTAGTATTAGCCCAATATTATGTTTACAAATATGTATCTTTACATTACGAACATATCGAAAAATGATGGAAGTTTCAGATATCCTCAAGATTCCCACAATTCATGCTCAAAACAATATCGTTTCATAAACCGGTATGTAATTTTTCAGCAGATATCTATTTACAATTATTGCTTGTTTTGAATTATGTCTATTGAAGAATGTTATTTATAACGTACATAATTTTAAAAATAATCAAATCCTAATTTGATAACTTTTCATGGAAAAATCATCCTGCTTACGAAGACTGTCTCTGGCCTAAACCTTCAAACTACATCAACATTGAGTAACAGTGAGATTGACAGAAAAATGCTTCCTATCACTGAAGCTTGAGCTCTTAACACTGCATTTGAGGTTGCTCAAGCTGGCAACAAAGTCATATTCACCAGTCATTGAGAACTGATTCAGTGTAAAAATGGATTTTTAAGAGGCTGAATCTTATGAATGTGGTGTCTAGGAGTTGTAAAATTTTGTAATGTGACGTACTAGTGTTTTCCATAGAATGTAACGGCATGTATTCCATTTCTAACTTTCTTCTTTTTCCTTTTCCTCTCTTCTGAATTAGACACAAAAGGAGGTTTGCTTGTCAACTTTAACACATTGAAGCACATGCCTGACCTATACTCGGGCTTTGCTTAATACTCGAGAGCTTATTTCCGCATCTTTCCGTGCACATGCCCGAGGATTCATTAGTTCTGAGCACTGAGGAGAGGTCTCCATTGATGTGTATGTACTGTGTTGCCATCTTTTCGCCAATTTGAGAACAATTTTGTGAAATACACGATGTAAGGTCACTTGCTTTTCATAGTAATGTGCAGCGGTAGAAGAGTTCTATATTATGGCACATGCATTGTTTAGTTTAAAATGTTGACCATGCCACAAAATGATGACCTCTTCGGAAAATAATTCGAAAAATTTTGGAAGAAAAATATGGATGAAATTATGAAAATTCTGATCCTGGAAAATATATATGGCCACAAATTTTTTATGCTGTATTTTTAAAATATATATTTTAATTATTTTTATTATAATACACATTTTATTTTGTCAATAAAATGTAAAAACTGACATTTTACTTTATTTTTCATTAATAAAAAGTCAAACTTTCTGAAAATAGTAAGGGTTTATATATTTGTTTCACCAAAGTAATTACTGATACCACTTAAAATACCACTAAATACCCTGGGTTGTGGGATCGAACAATCACTAAGTGTCTGGGATTCAAAATGTTAAAAGTACATAACATGAGCACTAGAAGAAAAAATATTCAGATGTTGATTTTTTAAAGACTTCTTAGAAGAAAAGTACAAGTTGCATTACAAAAATCTTAAATCCAAGATGTTTTGATCTTGGCAAACAAAGCAGCTTTAGTAAATACATACTACCACGTTAACATGGAAAATCTCTTTGCCAATTTTTTGGAAACTTGTATGTTATAAAATATTTTCTTATCCCTGCACTGAATTGCTTCACATTTCAGAAAAATATAGGGAGAGCCGACAAAATAATCAACAGAATTGGGCAGGTGATCATAATGTAATGATTCATAGGTGAAGTGTTGTAAAGTAATTTGAAAATCTGTTTAATACTAAGAGTGCCATTATTTCTGCAAAGAGCTGAGCAAACAGGAAAAATCTATAGCATGATATTTCTCAGACTTATTGCCATGAGCTCAGACTAATTGGAGTATCTTTTATAAATATTTGAAACTACAAAAAGGCTAAGTTTCAAAATTACTATTGAAATGTCAATCAATAATATCACATATAGACCTCTCATTAGAAGGCTAGGTGAATCCATGTAAGTAAGGAAAAATTATGTATTAACAGCAGAATTATATATTGAAAACTAGGCCACAAATATAACGTGAAGGTCTTTTACGATTCACAAGATTCAGTGCTTCTAATATTACTCTGCACGAAGCAACAGTTGTTGTTGTGTGTGTTGGGTTTTTTTTTTTTTTTTTTTTTTTTTTTTTTTTTTTTTTTTTTTTTGCCGGTTGTTTGAAAGCAACAAATGTTGCTTAGATGGGAAGATACAATAGTAGCAACAAAACTTTACTAATCATCATCAGGAAGCACAGCTACCATTCCACACATTTCATGCAATGAAAGTTGCAAATGCATTTTACAATTTTAAACACACTTCAACCCAATGGCATTCACTGTACAAAAAATAAGGAACATGCAGCATTTTTCTACATTTGTGTGCATACGTCTAATCTTCTACACAAAATAGTACACTAAAAGCATCTTAAACGAGGTACTATATTCCATTACGACAAGGAAATCATAAAAATTAATATCTTGAGAAACAATGTACCACTTGAAATTCAAATTTTGTTTAGTATTTATTGTAAATATAAATAACTCCCTAAAAATTTAAAAAGTATCGTAAATGATATAAAAGACATTTCTTGTTAGAACCTATTCTCCTGAAACTTTGTAATTAAAAATTGTAGAATCAAAAAATAACAATTTTTAACAAGTTGTTCAAGAAGGGAATTAAAATCCACCGAAAATTTGCACTCCATACATTTAAATGTGTAATTAACAATTAATGCAGAACATACAATTCAATAAACGTGGAAACGTCTTGTGTGTGGAAGGGATGAAAACCTTAATTCATGAACTGCTCTTACCTGTTCTTTTGTGCGAGTTCGAGTACGCATTCTTCCTGGAGAATCTTCTAATGTCTCTAAGTTTTGCACAGGACGAAACAGATATGGTGCATCTCCACGCACAGCTGCCACACCATTGGCAGTATTGGACACATTATTTGCATTAACAGGAGGTAATTCTCCATATTTTTTGCTATAAACACGACAATCAGAACAAAGTAATGTGCGATCTTTTCCTATGTGCTGCCAATCTCTTGAATCTGCAAAACAAAAAAGAAGCATTTGTTAATAAATATCATCTCCTATATTATTTCAGTTGTATACATACCTTTTGCGGTTCTCACAACGTGCCAAATAGCACCAACTTTAAAAATATGATGAATTTGTTTAAAAAGCACATCCAAATATTGATGTTAAACACAACCCGGTCAGATATATTGATAAATAACTCTTAAACGAAGCGTTCTAGGAACTTAAAACACTAATATTTTGAGGTCAAAAGCTTCAAAGAAACGTTCCATACACCGTAATCCATAGGATGACAAACTCTTGAACATTCTATTAAATGTTTCCTGGTTCGGCACTTATTGATACTATCAATGTCACCTAGATTTCAACTCTTGGTGATGGTGGCCATCTTCGTGATGTCACGCTTAGAAGACTTAGCTTCCTCTATCTTATGCTATTTACAATTTCTGTGTACACCGTTGTTTTGTGCAGATTAACGAGCTGTATTTGCATTATTAATTCAAGATTTGCTCTCGCAGCAACAACTATAAGTACTACTTATTCCAATGAAGATTGTTCCTTATGTGTGTAGTGAAAACATTAATCTATTGTTTTGTTGAGGTCTACAAGTGCTGTGTACCTTATTGTGGAGAGATATGTGTGTATAGTGAAGAATGAAAACATGTCTTGTTAGGTTTGGTTTGTGTTTTACCTATACTACTATTTTCATTATCAGCCATGATTTGAGGAAACTTTCAGGTCAGTGTGTTCAGTCACTTAGCTTTCTCAAGAGTAAAAAGCTTTTTAAATATTTTTGTGACCATTACAAAAAGCGAAAAGCAAACTGTCAAAGAATATTGAATAATTGTTTTAAATATTTTCAAAGAAGTTTTGTGAATTGTTCCAAGAAATCTCTTGATAATACTGAACATAATAATACAATTTCATTCATTGTTACTAACTGCAAACACTGTTACTAACTGGGTAGTGAAATTTTAAAAAATGTAAGAGAATTATTAGAAAAAAAAAAGGTTATTTATTGTTTATTTGACCTTACCCAAACATAATAATTGTAATATATCAATTTGAAACACCTCTATGTCATGTAAAGCAGTGTTTTCACAAAACATTAAAATCCAATTATCGCTCCCAGCAAATGGGAACAATGAACTTCCACTGACAAGCAGCTGAAGAGAAAAAATTGTGAATTTAAAATACGAAATGGAATACATATAATTGAACAACCATTGCACAATGTAACAAAACAAAAGCAAGGAGCAAGGAATTTTTGTCATATTCCACCTAAACCCAGTTTATTTAGTGTCAGTACAAACCAGAAATAAATTTCAGACATTAAGTATTGTTACTATAAAAAATTAACATTAACCAACATTTTAGTTACAAGGTTTATTGATAACATTTTATAACAAAACTTACTTGTTGTGTAGCAATGTTGACAACGATATGCAGCATTATCTCGAGAATCTGAATCATCTTCTGAATTATCTTCCTCACTACCAGAACTTCCTTCACCTACAAAAGTGTAATATATTAATCATTCTTTCATGTTTCACTGTATTATCAAGAAGTTAATATCATATCAAGATTAATATACAAGCAAAAAATCTACTTTTTTGCCAAAAGAATCTTATATACAAATTCTTAAGCCCAGAGATATATCAGAGTGCTCCCCTTAATATTAATAATAATTATGATAATGATGACAATAATAATAATAATAATAATAATAATAACAATAATAATAACAATAATAATAACAGTATATTATTATCATCATCATCATTAAACCTCTTCTTCCTTCTGAATGTCTCTTTATTAATTTGATGAAATGAGTTCCTTTACATCATATATATTCAATTTTATTTATTCTGTAATTTTAATTTTGTAAGTTACATTGGTGATGTGATGTGATGTTTCGGCTACCTCTGTTAGCCATCAGTCCATGTTTTTATACATTGTACAAAATGGAACATTTTATACTATGTATAAAAACATGTACTGTAACAATTCACTGCTAAACAGATGTCTGATGATAGCCAACAGAGGTAGCCAAAACATCACATCACCAATGTAACTTAAAAACTACAATTACAGAATAAATAAAATTGAATGTGTATTATTTATTATTATATTAAGAAACTCCTTTTATTGTATAATATAATAATCACATCAATAATAAAAATAATAATAATAATAACAACAACAACTCTACCTAGGGAGTACATGACCTTGTAGATGATGGTGGAGCTTGAGTACCCCCCTTGAGCCTGAGAGCTATGTCGGCAGTAGCCTAGCAACTGGTAGAGCCTCCCATGCTGATAATGTTGAAGGTGAGGGTTCAGAGGAAGAAGTACTCCAAAGGAGTGGAAACTACGTGGAGAGGTCATGAACCTTTCGACTTTCTGTTATCACACCAGGCCACTGATTAGAGTGGAGGCCTGAACACCGCATTAGCCAGCAAAGGAGGCTACCTTCAGCAGTCAGTGATAATCCCATAGGGTTTAGTAATTTAGAGTGGCGTTCGGCAGGATCTTTGCTGGGCCCTGTGGGGAGATGCCCCAAGGCCACTGAGGGTCACAGTAGTGGATAACAGGAAATAACCAATGGTTAAAGATGTCATTGCCAACAATGTTTTTTAATTCAATAGCAGCTTTCGATGGCTTAGCCATCATCAGCTGCTATTGAATTAAAAAACATTGTTGGCAATGACAACATCTTTAATTATTTTAAAAATGCCAAAGATATCTTACCACAACACCTATAATAACCAATGGGTTAAGAGTTATCTATGAATTCAAACTTGCTTCCTGCAAATCTTCACTTAAAACCAATGAGCAAAATAGATAGTACAAGAAATGTAATAAATCTTAACGTGCCTTGTTCTACCAGTGTCCCACACCTGCACAAAAAACAAACTAACGTCACCTTGTTGACTTTTGGCTATCCTGTGTATGTTAGTCCCAAGGGCTCAGCACCATCAGTAGCCCGAAGCCATTGTCAGAGATGCATACGGGATGAATTCAAGGTGGTGAGATAGTACCTTTACAATTCAAAAGCAAAAAATGGAGGCTCAGAAATTGAAGTTTTTAAAATATGGAGAAAGTGGAACCCAGTTATGTGACCCGCCCTAGATTGAAATAAGCTTGTCAGTCAACACTAATACATACTCAGCACTGGAAAATTCACAGCAGAACACCTTGCAAACCTTCTGAAAAAGAGAGTATATTCTTCGATAGAACTATCCACATGATGAACATTTAGAAGCCACTAATATCCCTGAAAACAATAGTCCTCTTGAAGGTTCATCTCTTCCCAGTGAAACATCTGTCAGAAGTGAAAACTCACCTGCCTATCACACGATAAGGATATGCAGAAGAACCTCCGTCCACATAAGATAGAACGAGTTTGTCTATTTCCATTCGAATATTGTGCCCCGTTTAGGAAAATTTACAAAAACGCTAAAGCAAAGAGAGTTGTAGAAGGATCAAATTATGTCTCAAATGACGTTGTACAGATCCAAGGTAGAGATCTAGATATAACTGAAATCTATCACATTGTGTATGCCACTAGATATCTGGTATCTCATAATTTTCGGGCCAGTCAAGAACACTGGCAGTCGGCAGCCACAGTAAACAGCTCTGTACCCCCCTGGGTGAATAGAATTATGAAATGGTTAGCCAACACTCAATGTGGAATATCACTCTTAGCTGAAGCTTCATCTAAATCAAGTCACACCTCTGAAGTTGAAGAAAAAATGCTTCATATTAAATAAGAAAAAAATAAGGATTTAAACAGACGTGAAGAGATTCCAAAACTGAACGGCAATGCAACACCTCCTCCAAAAGATGGTGTGGAAATATTATGGGCAAGAATCAGTGAAGAAAGCAGATCCTACATCAAAGACAAAACTTGGGTTCTATCTGAAGCCGATGAACTTGGAGAAACAGTGGAACATGTTCACAAATTCTCAGAAGAGGACCTCTTCCAAGGTATTAAGAACATTGGGAAACTGGAAATCTCCAGGAATTTATAGATTCAGATTTATTGAATTAAGAAATTCACAGTATTACATTCTCATCTAGCAAAGGCTGTTAATAAAATTTTAGAAGACCGAAAGGATCTCCCAGAAAGGCTCACACGAAGCATCACGTATTTGCTTCCCAAAGCAGGAGACTGCTCTTTCGCAACGAACTAGACTCTTGAGCACTTGTCTGACAGTATTGTACAAACTTATATCGCAGCCATTGCTAACAAAATGTACAAACACCTAGAGAAGCACCTGCTGCCAGTCGAACAAAAAGGATGTTGTAAAGGATCCAATGGCTGTAAGGAAATTTTGCTACAAGCACGTCACCTTGAAACAAAAACCTAATTTAAGCATGGATTGAATTGACCAAAAGGCTTTTGATAATGTACCACAAGATTGCATCTTGAAGACCCTGGAGATTTATCAATTTCATCCCAGACTTATTGAGTTTTGCAAGGGTGATATGAAGTAGTGGAGTACCGGGTTACTAATACATAGTCGACAGGAAGTAGTCAGAAATAAGTAGCATTCAAATTAACAGAAGAGTTTTCCAAGGAGATGCAAAACATCAGTACGGCGGACGTAAGGACGTTCGGGCGGACGAAAGGGCGGGCGGACGAAAAGGGCGGGCGGCGACGAAAGGGCGAGCGGGCGTAAGGGGCGGGCGGGCGGGCGTACAGGGTCAGAAAGGCGCGGGCGTAAGGTCAGAAGGGCGGGCGGGCGTAAGGGCGAACGGCGTAAGGTCAGACGGCGGGCGGCGGAAGGTCCAGAAGGGCGGCGGGCGGAAGGTCAGAAAGGCGGGCGGCGGAAGGTCCAGAAGGCGGGCCGGCGGAAGGTCAGAAGGCGGGCGGGCGAAGGGCAGAAGGGCGGGCGGGCGAAAGGGCGGGCGGGCGGAAGGCGGGCGGGCGGAAGCGGGCGGCGCGGAAGGTCAGAAGGGCGGCGGGACGGAAGGGGCAGAAGGGTGGCGGGCGGGCGGAAGGTCAGAAGGGCGGGCAGGGCGGAAGTCAGAAAGGGCGGGCGGCGAAGGGCAAAGGGCGGGCGGGCGGAAGGGCGGCGGGGCGAAGGGCGGGCGGGCGAAGGCCGGGGCGGGCGGAAGGTCGAAGCGGGCGGGCGAAAGGTCAGAAGTCGGCGGGCGGGCGGATAGGTCAGAAAGGGCGGGCGGGCGAAGGGCAGAAGGGCGGGCGAGCGGAAGGGCAAGAAGGCGGGCGGGCGGAAGGGCGGGCGGGGGAGGGCGGGCGGGCGGAAGGTCAGAATGGCGGGCGGCGGCGGAAGGGCAGAAGGGTGGGCGGGCCGGAAGTAGAAAGGGCGGCGGGCGGAAGGGCGGGCGGCGGAAGGGCGGAAGGGCGGGCGGAATGGAGGGGCGGCGGAGGGCAGAAGGGTGGGCGGGCGGAAGGGCAGAAGGGCGGGCGGGCGAATGTCCAGAAGGGCGGGCGGGCGGAAGTCAGAAGGGCGGGCGGGCGGCAGGCGAAAGGGCGGGCGGGCGGAAGGGCGGGGGGCGGAAGGGCGGGCGGGCGGAAGGGCGGCGGGCGGAAGGGCGGCGGGCGGAGGTCAGAAGGCGGGCGGGCGGAGGTCAGAAGGGCGGGGGGCCGAAGGGCAGAAGGGCGGGCGGGCGGAAGGCAGAAGGGCGGGCGGGCGAAAGGGCGGGCGGGGAAGGGCGGGCGGGCGGGCGGAAGGGGCGGGGGCGAAGGTCAGAAGGGGCGGGCGGGCGGAAGGGCAAAGGGTGGGCGGCGGAAGGTCAGAGGGCGGGCGGGCGAAGGGCGGGCGGGCGGAAGGGCCGGGGCGGGCGGCGCGGAAGAACATAGGGACGTTTTGAAAAAAGGTTTTTTCTGTAGCAGGGGAACCCAAAACGTGTATTTCCGTTTAAATATAGATCACACACACACGCGCGCACTCGCACGCACGCGCACACACACGCGCGCGCGCGCGCGCGCACACACACACACACACACACACACCGAACTCCGCGATAATCATGTGGGGCTCCGCTAAGATGCTGGTACCACATCATTGCCCGCACATTCAACGGGACGTCCTCCAAAAGCATAGGGTACCTAGGTTATAAAATTCAGTTACTGAACGCCTCTCGAGAAAGAAGTGATGACCTATCGTATGGTAAAGTCACCCACAATGCCAGAGAATCACTCTTGGTGAGCTACGCTACGTGCACACATGGAAATTATGCGCATTAAGATCTTTTAAAACACGTTTCATTTCCCAAAGAACGGTTTCAGAAATTTCTGATTTTCCAAGAATTTGCGCAGGAAATTCCTCGAGAAATGAGAACGTTGTAAGTCGGTACTGCACCGATTATGACCGTTGGAAATGGAAAAAGTCTCTCCGCTTGAATTGTTCGCCAGGTGAGAGAATGTTGCGTTGAACTCGCGCACTACTTGCCTTGCGCTCGCTTCCGGGGCTTAGCTCATAGTATTAATAACTGAGTTTTTCAAAGTGGCGAGCCCTAACGCTCACTTGCCATAGCCCGTGGCACACGAGCTCAAGCACACAGTCAAAAGTTTAACGTTAATTACTTACAAAATTAAACGAACAAGATTATACAATTGTGGCAAATTCACTCCTTAACATTGCACATCACTCACATGGCTCTGGTGTATTAGCAATGAAGACTGAAACGCCATGTATACTGCCTATTCAAGAAATTCTAATGCCTATTTATGTTATTTAATTATCTAATTTATGTGTCTAAAATGGAAGTTTTGGAGCGTAAAAATCTACTTGACTAGGATCATGACATTTCCCAAGAATTTGTTTCCTCAAAACTTAATTACTAAGAAATAATGTGGCTTCTGAAACCCTCACTTCAGCTTTAAATAAACAGTTCAATCTCAAAAATAATATTTCTATTATAACAACATAAATTACAGATTTATAGCGTTCCCAACTGATACTCTCATTAATTCTCATTTCCACAAAAACAGAACAAGGCTCAAAAGCTACATACCATGTTCTTTGGAGTTCGGTGAAGGTCTTGAAGAGCCTACAGCTGTAACAGAAAGAACATGAGAAAATATTAAACACCTAATTGTGAAAGAATGAAAAATGTAAACAACCTTTAATAATCATAGTTTGCAGAGGAAAAATTAACAATCCAAAACTTGCCTATGTTGTCAAAAATAAATAAATAAATTTTTTAAAAAAATCCAGAGGCTGCTCCTTGTTTGGAATGTTTCATGTAATGACCCAACGGAACCGCATCTAAATCTTTTGGAAAGAAAGTCTTTGTCCCTATATTTCACAAACTTCTTAACCCTTAACCACTTCAGTGTGGTCACTGTGATCACAGCAAATTAAAATCATCTTTAGAAAGCCGAAGTATTTATATACATGATTTTGGCTTGGACGCTGCTCTAGCTTATTGTAAGGCGGTTGAGAGCTACCAACTTGATTCGCCAGCTCCCATAACAAGTTTTACTTCTTTTTTCCCCTCCCCAGATGAAAGTGTGGCTGTCATGGTCATGGTCAACAAACACAGTACATTCACGACTGACCAACCATAGAGAATGGCTCTAAGGAAGGACTCCCATCTGAAGCGTTTAAAAAAACAAGAGAGAAAGATATCTACCAAAAATGAGTGACAGCAATAATCCTATTGCATCGTAATCAAAAGTGCAGCTCTGGGAAGTTAAAGTAGATTAATTCATGGCTAACCTCAATGCCATTTTCTCTTCATATCATTCATAAGCCAGTGGGGTTTAGGAGACCCCCCTCCCCAAATACACACACCCTTCTGGGGCCCATTAATTGCAATATTTTGAAACAATGTTTCACCAATATCTACTAAAAATTAAATAATTCCCAAAACGAGCAATTTCTCATAAGAGCCCATATTGATACAATGATACTTAACTTTTTTACCATTCATATAAATTTTAAAAGTCATTTGAAGAAAGAGCAACTTCAATGACCGTGTGATTTTTTTCCCCAGAAATATTTAAAAACATATTAGTATATTTTAATTTAGAATTATTTTACATACTACAATGAAATATTTTAATCTACTAATATTTTGATATAAGCATGAAATTTTGTTATTCCAGTCAATGTTCACAAATTTTCCCATGGGTAAAAATTTAGGACAACGTATAGGGAAACTAACAAATCCTTTTTTATTAATGTGCAATAGTTCATAGCAATAGTCATTGATTTTCCCCCTCTTTTCTTTTTTCTTTTTCTTTCAGTTCTTAAGTTTTTTATGAATCTTCTTCCTCAGCTTCCTTTCTCTTTCTTCTAGTCTCTTCTTTCGGATAGATTTGATTGGCAGTACATGTGCATAACCCAACTTGTTTCAGAGTGGCCATAATTTTCAATTAGGCACTCTTTCTTTATTGAAAATTTTTTTTCTATGTCTGCTTGATTGTAAGATAAAACAAGAACCATCCTGATAAATTTTAGCAAATCTTTCAAAATCAAAATTACAATTTTCCAAAATTTATTCAGCCTCTTCCCTTTAAATCTCTCTTCAAAAAGTGAAGAATGATCTGTCTCTTTCAAGCTTGCCCTGATAAATGCCACTTATCTAACTTTTTGTTACAAAATCATCCAAGCAGCAACAATTATGCTTTTAGGCAACTGTGTGTGATGTGAGGATCACACATTGTTAAGATTCTTAGAAAATTTAAAAGCAAACAGAGATTTCATCTTCATTTTATTTTTGTTTGTTTTGAAAGCTGCTTAGTTCATCTTCATTCAATTTGTTGTGTGAAACTATTCAAAGCATTCTTGAAGATGGAAGGTTCACCAGATCCAATTTTGCAACAGTAGTTCATTTCCCTTTGTTTCCTATTGACAATCACAATTCACACTTAACTAAGCTTGGAAAATCTATCCAACCCACACACTTCAAACACTCACCAAAACAGAAGAGTGCTTGAAAGATTGATCCCTGTTATTTCTCGTTACCAATCAATCAATAATTTTCACGGTACACTCTTTGTTTTATGGATGTAGTGAGAACTCAATGACCAAACCAATCTTCTTTCTCCCCTTTCTATTGCTAAGAACTTTGATGTTCTCATCAAAATTATTTTTCTTTTTTCATTTTGTTTCAACCAAATTTGCAAGAAAACTAATTCCATCCATTATGTCACTTCATTAACAGCCCATTAAGAAGCATTCCTAAAATGGCCCTATTTCTTCATTTGCGACAGGACTTCATCGAAACTCTCCCCTTTGTGAAAGGGAAATTTCTCTTCACTTTTTCATCAGCATACCCAATTGATTCCTCCAAACATTGTTAGTAAAAATTTACAGAAAAAATCTAATGACAGGGTCAGTTCATTATTTCTTGTTGCTTGGTAGCCTGCATTTTAAAGGAATAAAATTTAATCAAAAAAGTCGTCAGTACCACCATTTTCTCAGAGTGCCACCACTCCACTTTTTTTGTCACCGTATTCAACAACCACACCTTCTAAATAATTTTTGAATTCACAGCATACCCTTTTATCCCCTGAATCACTTAATTTATTTTCATCAATTTCGCATTACTATTTCTCAATTGTTAACACAATACTCCGTGATTTTGAACAACTTGAACAAACAGTTCCAAAGGCATCTGATAAGTAGGGGCAGATTCTGATGATTTAAAATATCGCCAAAAATGATGAATACAATACACTGAAAATATTTGAAAAATAGCAAAGAAAAATGACTTAAAAAATACGGTCAAAACCAGTTCAGATGAACAACTCAAGCTGTTGGATATAGGATGGATGTAATTAAAGCTCCTTCCTTTCGTTAAAGTAAACACAGTATGCAAACTTTTGGTTTGGAGTATTCTTTACCAGGAAATTTCCGTCTTCAGTAACCTCAAAATTAGCCGAACCAACAATGACGCTTCACAGGAACATTAGAATAAAGCATCACAGGCACTTTAGATTACACTCGCAATGACCGACATTACAATTTCTGAGCGAAGAAGTCGAATACGCTACTCAGGAATTCCACCTACAATAAATGTTGCATCATGGACATGATTCATGGACCATGGATCATGGACTATTTGAAGCAAGTACCATTAAAATTATATTGAAATCGATAAAATCAGTAATGTTTTAAAAATGATTGAAAAAGTTAAAAATGACTTATTAGCCAATATCGAAGAAAGATGCAAAAAGGGATATAAACATGGGTCATTTCCTTTTGTCAAAACTTATTTAATGTCTACCCTAAAAAGTATCATTCTAAAGTGAAAAGAAAGAAAAAAGTATGAAATTTCATTCCAAACCAACCCCCTTCTGCAAAGATACTCCCAGATTCACATTTGTGCTAACCAAAAAAAAATTATCATTGTCAGAACAAAGTCCTTAAAATTTGACCACTTCCAGTAATTCTAGTGAAAGTGTTCTAAACATGACACAAGACACTAGGATGTTGTGGCACAAGAAACCAACTCAACATTTAGGCAAAAAAACAACCAATTTCTCAGTTGTCCTCAAACACAGATTGCGTGTGTCGAAAAGATTCCCTCCAACCCACTTCATGCTATAATGGAATCTTGAAGTTCCCAAACTGAGAGACAATACCATCGTGATCTGACATAACAGTACGGTGAATTTCTTACATGAGCTCTCCTCACACGAAGTGTCATATTTAAACATTCGAAGAATGCAGAGGAAGAAGGATAAGGGCTTAGCTTTTATAAAAACTGAGTTGGTAGTGAATTTATACAGTTTAATTCCAACAGAATATTTTGAATTGCTATGCAGAAAAAATTTTATGAAGCATTCACATTTGTTAAGATTTTTATGTATTTCTACTGGGCCATAGTATTAATTTTAGGGACTTGCTAAAATATTTGTTGAATTTACTTCAAACTAATTGTGTAATTGGTTGATAAACATGTTTAGGTTTTAGAATTAAAAGCAATTTTCTTGAAAGTTACTTTATCCCACTGTACTCTACATTTATTATGAAAGGAAAATTTACAGTTTGTTACATTCCCTGATGTTTTTGTTTAAAATTTTCCCCAGACAATGTCAGTTTTCCAGGAACAATGACAGTTCTCCAAAAAACAATGTCAGTTTTCCGGAACAAATCCTAAATAACAGTGGGCAGTTCCGTTCATTTTTTTGCAATCCATTTAACATTAAAGTATTACATTTGTAGTTAATTTATCAGGGAAAAACCAACATCTACTTCTACTGGGAAATTACATGAATTTTTCAAAATGCTTGAAAAATAATTTTGTACAACTTTTGAGTTTGTGAGTACAGGTTCCACTTTTTGCACATTGGGAGTGACAGGGAGAGGGTGCAGAAAGGAGAGAGTATGGATTTTCTTCTCTCAGAGGAGAAAACATATGTAATGATAATTTCTTTAATTTTTTTACACACGAAAATAAACAGAACATCGGATTACTTCCACCCAATCACTGTTATTTTATATATTCCAATCTCATAAAAGTGTGAACGGTAAACTTACAACCAGTACAGGTGCTTGCTGGTGAACTAGCATCTACTTCTTTAGGCTGAGCACTTCCACCTCTAGTGCTTCGTGTATTTCTAATGCGCCGCAATGATCCTTGTCGTCTATTCCTCCGATGTGGTCTATTATTGTTTGCACCAGGAGTTTTCTTCCAAAGGTAATAGAATTCCACCAACTCAGGCTGCAAGTAAATATTATACATATAGCATCGTCACAAGACTTCATCTCAGTTCATTGATGATACACTTACCGTATCTTTATGTGGAAGCAAGTCCTTGCGAATGCGAAAAAAGTTCTTTCCAAACTGCCTCAATCCTTTTACAAATCGTTTCTACACACACATACACACACAAAATGAAGCATCTAAAAGAATTAACATATCAAATAATTTAAAAATTTTAACAACTAAGTTCCTACCGTTTCTTCTTCAGACCATTTTTTATCTATACCTTTGGGTACAGGACATTTTACTAATGCTTGTAATGCTTTTCCAGGATCATATCCAGAATCATGTAACTGCAAAAAACCAAGGAAGAAAAAAGTCTTGATTAAGTAGTAGTAAGCTGTAACAGGCATAGAAAAAGGAATTAGGATTTTGAGAAACTACACACTTTTTTTTTAACAAAAAGAATTTATAAACAAAAAAAGAAAAGGGTCCATCTATTAAGAGAAAAATCTCACCTGTCACTTTATTATAATTTGTACAGAAGGTTGACATTCCAGTTAAAATTGAAAAACCCCAGAAGTCCTACACCATATTTTCAGAATACATAATGTTGCAACAAAAAATTGAAAATTTAGGGTAAATAGGTTAAAAAAGAAATTGGAATACATCTTTATCTCAGACATTATACTCAAGTGACACTTGGTAGCATGAATTGCTATTTCATGGATGGAGATGATCACTTATTTTTATGGTATAATGTTGGCCAAAAATTCAGTTTTATAAAATCCATTTGTATAAATTAGAAACCATTAATTTTTTTCGGGGGGGGGGGGTATGTAAGCTTGAATATGCAATCAAGGGAGGTGAGGGGGAGAGGAGAGGAGAAATTGGTAGAACAAGCTAGTTTATGTCAAGTTAAAACAATGAAATAACGTTTGTGGAGACTCAGATATGAAGGTTGCAGTACGTTGCTAGAGAAAAAGTATAAAAACGAAAAGTATTTAGTAAGAGCCCATTTCACTTCCAATGTGTAGTAACTACATTTTAATGCACTTCAGTTTGCTAGTCAATTTAAAAATATAACAATAAGCTTTTTGGCTTAGGATAGCGAGTTAATTAATTTGAGAAACTCTTACACATACTCCCATGGAATTTCAAAACTATATTTAATTTTTGAAATTATAGTTCCCCTCTATTTTCACACTATTCTCACTTTCATAGATCAATATGTAGTACATTCGGATAAACAATCACAGCTTATACTAGCTCTTTCACAACTCGAATTGAAGTTCTCGTGCATCATTAATATTCGAGTGCTTAGGAAATATTACTGGTATATCACTCAACAGGTAGATGAAGCTAATTGAATTGTGCTCAAGGGTATAAACAGCGTGATATTCTGTGAGATACACAATTGAGTATGGTGATACTAAACCTATACGAACAGATATATGTCAAATGACGAGTCTGCTTCATATACTCCTAGATACTAGATTTGCTAGAGTATTCATGCTGATACTCTTTTGAGGCATTCCCTCTGGTCTTCATGGACTCAAGTCTTCGGATGGCTTTCTTCTTTTAGTGTTCTTCTTTTTTCGCTTATCTCTAGTGATGTTGAGCTCTCAGAACTGTGAGATTATATATGATGAGTCCAAAGACAAGCGTATAAAGAATTAGCAGATCTCCAGTGTTATAGAACGATAGCTGTGTATGATCACTAAGACTCTTGTGAATACGCAAGCGCGCGTTGTGATTAGGTAGAGTGCAAAACTAATCATGATATCTACGAAAACAGTAGTAGTCTTCGTTATAGTTCGTTACCTCTCGAACTCTACACCTGTGTGATGTGTTAATACTTTCTAGAATACGAGTGCCTTGCATCCTTGATTTACATTATCGCTCATCCAGTTCATTACCTATTCAAGGGTAGGGAGACTTCACGAGAGTAGGTGGAATGGTTAACAGTTGGGCGTAAAGTATTTATATATGTAGCGTATGTTAGATCTGTACGTCAGGTATTCAATGAAATATCATATTCAGATATATTGACACTCGTTCATTTGTGGCTCAGGAAAGCATCAAAACATCATAATGGATTCTAGTTTTTTATGGATTTTAAGACTTATGGAGTCTTATGATGGTCAAAAGCAAATCTGTCATACCTCTTTCTCCATTAATTTTGGTGTATCTTTATATATAGATTTGAACAATTTCTGTAAATTCCCTTAGAAAGAGTACATTTATAATATATGAAGCTTGATAAGATATGGGGAATGAAAGCAGAAAGTTTCTTGGAGTTCCCCAGAGTGAATGCAGCAGTAAATTAAATTTAAGACACATGGAAGCGAGTAGCGTTTTAGGAGATGAAGATTGAATATATTATTGTGGCAACTCTGACAACAAGTACTGCAAAATACACTAACTCATACGTTTTCAACTATTTTTGCCCTTCTAAAGCTCAATATCTTTATAAAAATCTTCACCTATCATTGGCAGACAAAATCGAAAAGAACTGCTGTTTAGGTTATGATACGTACTTGTTTTGATTGTACTTTCACATGTTTGTGTTTTAGTTTTTAAGTATTCTGCATTTAACCAAGGACTTACACGGTCTTTAACGTTAGCCAAAACTGCATTAGATCAGAATCTCACGCCGCCCCCCCCCGCCCGACCTCCTTGTACGCGAAACATTACACAACTCTTATAACACTACACATATTTTTTTTTAATTAATATAAGCCATTGGCTATTTTTCAATAAAAAGTATAGGATAATACAAAAATTAAAAAAACAAAGCTATTAAATTTCTTTTATTTTTATGGTTTTAAAAGTAAACACAGAATAAACCTAAACATAATACCAAACAGAATCCTTACTTGAAGTTTTACAGAAGGTGGAAACTTATTTTCCACACCAAAAGAGTGACCACCTTTCCACCTAGTATTAATTTTATATATTTACTCTAAAATGCATTCAGTTTGATTTTTAAAGTTAAAAATTGAATACTTGGAACAACTGTTTGCGTGTCTTAGAAATAACTATTTGCCAGTGGACTTCACAATGTGCATAACATATCGTCACCTTCTACACATTACACTAATATGTTACTTGAATTTTTATGTTGGAGTAATCTATTTGTAAGCGTGTAGTAGCTAAGATGACAATATGAACATACATAGTACACATACCAAATTTTAGGAGAGGAAATTATGAGGAATTATTTGGCCTTAAATTCGTTTTATTTTTTGAATTATCCTCACAATAACATACCTTTATACACAAAACGCAATGCCAATCTGTTTGAAGCAGCTATGTCATAGTAGATTCAGACACCATCCATCATCACTAGAGAACTGGATTCTTATGTATATTACATATTTTTGTCTATGCTCACTTCTCAAAATTGGTGGTCTGCAAATCAGTATAATTCAAACACAATAGGCAAAATGTTTCCATTACATATTTTGAATTTTTTTATGCATTCTACAAATTTTCTTAAAAATTTTATTTTGGCAAAAAATATTTGAATGTCTTTCAAAACTAAACTTTTTATTAAAAAAATCTGCATCTTTTATAACAGGCTAGAATTTGCATAAATGGGCGACGCAAAGTTTTCACTGAAAAGTAACATGCATGCAGTCTGTGTCTGGTTTGTGTAGGTTTAACCCTCTTTGCCACTTGCATCATTGCTTATGACACAAAGCATGTGAGCACAGAGAATATTATGTTTAGGTGTGGAAAGTATCTCAGGTTTCTTGATTCAAAACAATTTTACAGGGGAATAGAGGTTGTAGCAGACTATTAATGACGATGACAATGCATTAGAGTTATTGTTTGCCAGTCTTGTGTTCCAACATTTGTGTAATGGGTATCCCTGCACTCTATCACTGGGTTTTTTGCACTTAATTATTATTACAATATGATTTAAATAGAGTTAAATTTGTTGTTTGTAAGGTAAATGTTATAGTAATAAGAGCGTATTTGATATTCATATTTTCTTTCTTTTTTAATTATTTTTTTTTAGCAGCAGTCTTCATTAAGCATGTTTGGCCTATATATTTTTTCTGGGACTTTAATCATCACTATCTTTGGTCATATTTGCATGACCTGTAAGCATAGTAACAAGCAAGAAACTTTTTTGGCAGTACATTTAAGGGCTTATTCAAAGTAGCAAATAAATAATGTTGAGATTTTGGACATAAAAACGCTTCCTAAAATTTTCAAATTAAATCCCTTGTGTACATAATATGCCAAGGAAATTCGTGGGATTAAACGCACCTACTTTGCTCGCTCTTAGTAATGGTCATGTGACACTATTTATCGCAATTTCTCTTGGAATTAGCAGGCAGTCATTTATTTGTATAAAAAAAAAACTCATTATGAATTGTAGAACACTTTTTTGGCACAAACTAAATATTTTCATGCAAATACTAACACAAATTTTACAAATTCACTCTTTTCATACAGGCTAAATCATGTCCCACAAGTGAGATTATAATTTTATAAGAACCTTCAGCTTCCCCTCACGCATGAAAATGCCACTGTATCATTCCAACCTAATTGGGCTAAATTTAATTAAGGTTTGCAGATTGCTTGAAAGAAAATATATCAATAGCATTTGAGAATGTAAATGCATTCTCACAACTACGGGCAAAAATATGGATTAATCAAATCGGATTTTAAATAATTTCTAAAGATTAATTTGTAAACATACAACAAAAGCTCAAATGTAAGAAACAAAGAAATATGTAAATTATATACAAATTCTAATTTAACGGTAGCATTCATTTCTTCTAACATTTTCTCAAATCACGTTCATTGAAGTGGGCGGAAAAATTAGAAGCGGACAACCATGTTCAAGCAAAATTACACAAAAATTCAATTTTATTTTCGAAAATTACAAGACGGTCTTATTTCATGACGAATTATTTTCATAAAGAACAAATTTGTATCTTGCACAACTGTAGTTGTAGGGAAGACGCCAAAAAAATTTGACCCACTATCACAATTTTCGAATCGGAGTTTTCAACCGAAAAATGAGACGGCTACACGTCGCTTCACTATCGCAACAACAAATATAATAAAAATGATGGAAACCATCTTAATTTGAATATGTTCCGCAGAGGTTTCGTTGTAAAGTACCCCGACATTAAAATACAGGTTCACTTAAATGTGACCGCGTCATCAGCCCATGAATCGAGTGGGGGAATATCAATTTTGAAATAAAATAAGGCTGAACAGTTTTGCCGCTATCATTGTCAGCAACGGAAGGATTTTTGGCCATCATTCCGATATTTTGTATTAGGACCGCAGAAAATATGGGATTCCTGATACACACATATTAGAGGAT